CGATAAAGCCCGTTGAAAATCGCTGCCCACTGACAGACCCCTTTCAGAGCCCCCAACGTTCAGAATCCCCGTACACCCTGATCCTCAGCCCTAGCCTTCACCCCACAGAAGGATCCCGAAGTTTGAGAAGCCCCCATAAACCCAGTAGGGTCGCTGTCTCTCTCGTTCAACCAGCCGGGCCAAAACAGTTGAAGCTTTCTCTGATAGACCGAACCTGAAAGGCCCAGAGCTTAAAGTTCGGCACACGTGGTCGTTTACGTCCATCCCAGGATGCAGGGCTGCGCGGGAAGTGAAGGGACGTCTGAGTGCTCGGCTCTTCCACGCGGCCGAGACCGACGGAGGGGCGCTCCTCCTAGGGTGAGGCTCAGGTCTTTCCCAAGGTTCGGGACTATGACTATAATATATAATAAAGCATCTATAGCATATGATGTACAATGTATATTGTTTAGACAGAATACTTGAGAGTAGGCGTGTAGGGTTTGCAGTGCGCGGTGAAGGGTCTAGGGCTTAGAGGCCAGGGTTGAGGGTTCTTATCTGGGGCCTCTGCATGGGGTTCACTTCGACTCCCCCGATCTCCGGTGCTTCTGACAAAGGCTCCAACCCCAACTGGACTGCAATAGGGTTTAGGGTTGAAAGGGTTTAGGGTAAGGTTATAGGCTTTGGTTTATTGTTGACAGAGAGCTTAAGGAGTTCAAAAACTTAAGCTCGCCACCTCTGAGCCTCGTCATGATTTACACCGCCCCTTGCACACAAGGGGCTGACAGTTCGGATACTGGCGCAGCAGCACGAAATACGAGTGGTAGCAATAAACATACTAGCGTCTATAACAGGCGGATTCATGAGACGCACTTTGTCACATAATTGTTGTTGATCTGCCTGTCCAGGCCTGTATTTAGGCTTCAGAGGGTGGTTGGGTTAAGATCTTGCAGGCAGACACTATCACCGGAAAGGTGCCAAAAGACGAAACACACAAAATTCCGACACAGCGGATGTGTCTTTTGCCTGGTCTCCACGAATCTATGGCGCTTTTTTCGGAAGCTGTGCAAAATAAACACCGAAGACCCTTAAACTCCGCAGCAGGACCGAATGCCTTGAACTGGCAGTCCCCGTTCCCAAAAATTTTGTATTTTCTCAGTCCCCGGCCTTCTCGCTCCGTCATCGGATCGCCTGCCGGGCAGTCGGAGACCCACAGAATTCCCACAGGGGGTAGGGCAGGGGTAGGGTTTTGGGTTTATAAGGTCCATAGGAGTTTAGGCTTTAGGCTGGGATAGCTACTGAACCTTGAATCCTAACAGCTGAACTCTAAGGCCTGGAGCCGGCACTGCTTTGAGGTTGAAGTGCTCGAGTTTGGTCGCTCTGGCTTTGGAATTCTCGGGCTCCAGGTTCCAGAAGACCGAGCCCCAATGTCCATCAGAACGGGTATCCGGGTTCTTCAGAAACTTCAGGGTCTTCAGACCTGTCTCAATGTATCGTATAGTATGCTATAGTATCCGACAACGAAAACATATAACATTCCATGATATAACACAATATTGAAGACCTGACCAGGCCTGCATTGAACCCTGGAGCAATGCTTGGAGAAGCGGTGAAGGTCAATGCAAAGACGTGGTTCAGCCCTCACGCTTCTTCTTGCGAAGGTGAGCTGAGGAGATATATTACTACTCTTCCTCATCGCTTGTTGCAACATGAACCCCCACCCTAAACGCTGAGACCACAAACCCTAAAGCTCTACCCAAGACTCTAAGCGGCCTAATTTTTGGAAGCCTCAATGCCCTGAAGCCCGAGAGCCTCATCACTCTATATAAGTCTCTGCACCTTTTTTAGCCCTGACGCGCTAGAGCCCTAAAGGCCTAAACCCGAAGCTTCACTTGGAAACCTGAAGAATTACCAATACTATGTGTCTGTGTCCTTGATACACAACACACCCCCCCACATCCCTACTCTGCCGACAAGAAGCCAAGCGGGAAACTTCCGAAATCGTGGCCCTTTTGGGGAACCCTATGTACTTTTGCTCTGAATACGGCAGCCTGCAATTGGGAAACCACTAAGCCCTTAACCCACGTATTAAACCGCAGACACCACCAACTTTTCTTCGACTTGGATGCGTCGCTGTCCGACTTGGGGTTGCCAAACATCAGGGACATAAGTGCGGTGCAGGGTCTAAGAGTCGGATTACATAAGAAGGGTCTAGGGTTAAGGGTTTTATGGTTCTTGGTGCTCAGGGCTTGACGATTAGGCTTTGGGGGTTTTTGGTCAGGGTTCCTAAACCCCAAAGTAGACAGGCAATACAGACCCTAAGCAGATACTCACTAAAAGGACCGAACGAGTGCCTGAAGTGCATGATCTTCTTTGAGGAAGCCCTGGTACCAGTGCACCCCACTTTGCAACGAGCCCCTAAGTGCCGGAGCCAAGCGGACCTTGAGAAAGGCGCACAGCGCGACTGCCCAAACTCAGGACCAAAAGAAATTCACAGTCAGTTTGGGTCATCGTTAAACTGTGCATTTATCATCTCTTGCTCCGGATACCACTTCCTTCCGATACCAATAAACTTCGATGTCCTTGTAGATTGTAGCTGCCACAAATTTGTGTCAAAGATCTTACCTCCAGGCCCTTCAAGCTTGGATCACATGCGCTGCCAGCCGCCACCAAAGCCTTGGCCCACAACTTCGTCGTGGCTGCGCGGCTTGTTGCGCCTGCTCGAAAACGGCCGTCTCTAGGTTGAAAACGCGTTCGGCGCGAGAGCTTTGCTCTTCGCCCATCAACGATTTTTTAGGAATTGGCAATGGCAACAATAGTTTCAAGAATGCTGAAGGCTAACATCATAACAGTCATAATCACAATCCAAAAGTATAATACTACCAACAAGACTATGACACGTAGTCAGACGCTGCGGGGCGAGTCTGCGGGCGGCAGAGGCTCCATCTCGGCCTCTGCAGCCTCAGGTCGCTGTGGGAGTTTCACCCCCAGCCGTGGCCCGAAGACGGAGGGCGAAGAGGGCGGGCGAGGTCCGAGGGGCTCGGGAAGAGAGCCCTCGAGTCCCCCAAAGTACTTCGAAAAGTCCTGGCAGGGGATCTTAGGGCCTTAGGGCTGCAGGCACAGAGTCTAGGAGTCGTAGGGCCTTTAGGGTTATGATGGTTGTTTTGTAGATCAGGGTGTCGGACGCACGAAATCCATGCACAAGGTTAACCATAATGAGCGTTTGTGACTATGGGTTGCAGCGCCATATAAATATAATCTTTTGTTGCACATCCACATGGAATCTCACTGAAACCCGGAAAACACAACGTCAGATCTCCCCCGCTGGCATCCAGTAGCCTCTCTATATTGCAACCTTTATGGTGTGTCATGAGGGTTGGTTTTAGAGTTTAGGGTCAGTCTTGTAGTTCTGCACAGCTCGTGCCTGCGTGAGTGCGTACAGGGCTTTATAGAAAGGTCCCAAAGTTTCTGAAGTTTCAAGCGAGTGTAACGACCTCTAACCTGCAAGCCCCTAGCTCCCCAGCCATGTCAGCACCCCTCCTCCTGTAGGCTTGTCACCAATGACTGGACAGAGCGGGCTGCCAACAGCGGAGCGACGACATCGCCCTATTGCGGAGCTATAGGGGCTCTGAAAGGGATTCTACATGGTTAGGGTTGCGGGAATACCAGGGATTTAAGGGATACGTGCAAATGGAAGGACAGTTGTTCTCAGGTTGTTCGGGTTTCAAGCTTCAGGCTTTAGGACAGGTTTGAGGTCCCGGGTTGTGCAAGAACTTCCTATTTCTGCTAGTTCTTGTGCAGGACTTGGGGATAAAAAAAACCCGTTCCTGCTGCATTCAGCCAAAGAACTTAGTACTTGTCAGACCCCGTTGCTTCTAAGATTCTTTGAGGTTTCAGACTTCAGGCTTGCGGCTACAGTAGAGGTGGATCACTTTGTGGCTGCTCGAGTAAGGTGGGTGCTTCTCGAGATGTACATGATTACCTTGCCGCTGTCATTGGAGATACTGGCTTGGTATTGTAGTGACGCAAAACCCGGAACCCCAAATCCCAAACTCCAAGATCATAGGTCCTAATTAGAGCACCTTTCCGAAACCCTAAACCCAGAAAAACGCCTAAACCCTTAAACCCCAACAATCCTAGACCCTAAACCCTTATGAACCTGAAACCCTCAAATCCTGGACCCTAAGCCCCCCCTTTATTGACGAAGCTTCAGGAGCCTTGTTGACTTCCCCTCGCAGCTTCAACAAGCCCTGGACCAGCTCCTGGATGTGGAGGGTACCTTGGAGAAGAAAGTAGCTCGACAAACGGGGCTTTAGGGCTTAGGGTTCAGGGTTTAGGGCTTTAGGGCTTTATGGCTTCCTTCATTTTTTGGGGGGGGTCAGTGTGCACCGGAAAGAGGGCTTATGAGGGGTTTCGGGGGGTTTCATGTTCAAGGCTGTTGAGTCAGCGGGGCTTTGGGATCCATCGTGCAGCATGATAAGGCCTCGGGCTTTCTCCGCCTTAAATTCTTTGCCTAAACCTTCTCGTCCATAGGCACCACCACCGAAGCTTAGAACCACCAGGGTTGAGTTCAATGCCGAAGGTTTCGGCCTCACGGGCAGTCGGACTTGCTCCTCAACGGTTGATGATAATGAGCTACCCTTTCAACCCCTTCGGTAAGGACCATCATATTGCGATGTCCTTCTGGTGATCCTCGTTGCGGGAGAAGGGAGTGTTGATCAGGGGTGGACGTTGAGGCCGAAACCCTGAAACCCGAGAGCGACCTACACCTAAGAGCAACTGTGTTTAGCCTCTCTCGCCCCAGAGAGGCCCCTGAACTCTCCGGTCCAAGCCTAGGTTCGCGCCGGGTTTGGTATGAGCCTGGATGTTTTGAGGTTGAGCCCCCGGAAGACAAACCTAGGAATGCGTACAGGCATACACATCATAAACCCCAGAACTACCAAATGCAGCACCGGATGCCGAAATCCCAACCCCTCGCAACACGGGACCGGCCCTCTCAAATCATGTACCCTAAAGGCTAAACTCTACACCCGTTTTCTCTTACCTGAGGTGCCACTGCCATCTGAATCGATCACTTCGAAGAGCTGTGCGCGGTTCGGCGGAAGGTCGAGCTCATCCATCAAGGCCTCTATGGGAGGCACTCTTGCAAGTAAGAGCCTTGACAGAAAAGGGATGCTACTATTTCGTGCCTATGTTGTGGCTCCTTATTTTCTCAGACTTTCAGTCTTGTTTCAGTACAGTTTAAGAGGTTAAGGCCTTCGTGCTAGGGCTAGGACATGGTGCATGCACTTCTGGGAACGGCAGCAGGGGTAATTCAGTTTACTGCTTTCGTCTGGACGGACTGGAGCGTTGGGGCTTGAGGCCTGCACCGCGGGATCTTGAATGACCAGAAAGAAGAGCTCCTTTGTAATGGCGACATCATCGTGAATCTCGTCGTCGGTAAACAGAGTTGCCCCGTGGCTGATTTCCAATCGAGAAATATCAGCTGCATGATCTTCAATTACGTGGAAAACATGATAAGCAGCTGCAAATTTCTTCAGTAGCTCTCGGGTTGCACGGGCGATTCGAATGGACTCACGATTGTACTGCTCTGCAGTGACGGCGTCGTTCTCTTTCGCGGCCCGCATGGTAATGTCCACGTAGACGGCAAGGATTACCTCATCAAGAGGTGTAATGATCGCTGGAAGACAGTTCCATCCCAGAAAAAAAACCCACTTATCCAGTCAATCTAATCAGTCGTGCCTGAACCTCAACTACTCAGACTCCTCACATGTCACCACCTTAGACAAACACGAGTTCTCATCTTTCGAAACCGTCGAACTTTGCCCTGCGGTGGAATATGTCAATCGTTTCTCACTGCCAACAAGAGAGCCGTGAGTTTCATCGGATTCAAGAGCTCTTGCGCGTGTACCAAAAGCGTACTGTAATGCCGATAACAATCTGCCCTCCACCGCCCCTGGCGGTGGGCTACAAAGACGATACAACACTTGTAGCGTATGATCTCAGTCTGCTTTAACCATTCAAGAATATTCAGGAAGAAGGCCAAACTCGCTGGGGTTCGGGCAGGAAGGAGCTGGGCTTAATGTGGGGGCCTTAAGAATTCGAATTGGGTTTGGGGGTGTATTGTACGATAGCTATCATAAGGAACCCACCAAAATAGTAAAGTTAATTACCAAGGCCCCTATACTATCCACATGTTCACAAAGCTCACAAAGCTGAGCCGAACACACGGCAAACCCGCTCTTGGTTGCAAAGAGGTGGCATTGAAAATGCCCATGGCCACCAGCATGTAGCTGCAAACGTAGCCAAAGACAAAGACCACCCCGAATTGCTCGGCGAGGACCAGCATAATCGGCTCCCCAGTCATGGTGTTGCAGTCGCCGATGAAACAGCGAAAGGCAGTGAACATAGACCATGGGATGTTGTAAAACCTAAGTTTTTGCCCGGCTCCGAATCTAGGAGTCAAAGAAGCAGCTACGGCAAAAGCCCTGCAAATGATGCCGGCAATGGCGTGCCCTCATACTAGCTGCAAACTTGCAGAAAGCAACCGCCAATCCCCACACCAGCTAAACCCGACATGCCGCACAAACACCACAATACATCCAAAGCCCAAGACCCACACAGAATTGAAACACCGTGCAACCCTCCGTCCCACCAGCCCTCTCTAAAACTCCTTCACGGCTCGGGCCCAGCCATCTATCTCCTAAACTTCACATCCCAAAGCATGTACATCAGAAGCCCTGCGCCCCCGGAACATCCCAAACCTCCAAGAACATCATAGAACCATTATGGTGAACAGGAACTTCTGGATGCAGCACAAACCCCAACAGACCTAAACCCTATAGAAGTCCTCTAAACTCTATCAACCCAGAACCCTACAGCATGAACCCTAAGAGTCCTACAACCCCTATCAGCACTATGAAGCCTACCCTGCCCTAAACCAACCAAGCAAGAGAGCAGATCTTCCATGCCAAGGTCTGCCATCCGACTGTCCCGGCCAATGGTGAAGGAGGCCAGGCCTTTTCGGGGTTCAGGGGTAAAGGCTTATAAGGTCATAAGGTTTAGGGTTTCAGGTTTAGGGTTTCGAGGGATTAGGGATAGGGTCTGCGTCAGATGCTAGGCAAAGGCAGGTTTTGGAATTTCAAATCCCAGGTTGCTCTGATCGTCCTGAAACAAACAGGAACGTAGAACAACTACGTTCTTCAGCCCGTAGCCCGAATTAAAACAAGACCTTGGCGCTAAGTCGTAAACCCAAATTGCCACAGACTCGAAGCTTAATTATAGGTAGTGCGAACCGGAGTATCGCCACACGTGCTAGACCGCTCCGGAAGGTCATAGTCTGCTAAACTACGGGAGCCGGCGCCGGGGCGAGGGTAGCGTTTGGTCACTACTCCGATTCCTAGGCTAGACTTTGATGAACGGAGGATGCGCACATGAAGGGCTCTGCTTGGGGCCTGCGATGAGGTACAGGACCGCGAAGAGCAGGCAGAAAGCCAGCGCCAGTGTCCAGATGCCGGCAACGAGGCCCCTAACCTGGGGCCACACCGTCATCGCGATAATCAACGTTAAATGTAAAACACCGAGACTAAAAAACTGCTAAAGGCGTTTGAAATGTCTTACAGGAACCCTACTAGGAGCAATTCTATGTTGTCGAAGCTGGTCGCCGAGGGGCCATGAGGCGGAGGTCGGACATGATCTTCAAGCGGAAGACACGCACGACCCGGGCCAGGCGCACCAGGCGGAAGCAGCGCAGCAGCAAGGTGCCGGCGATGTCCGGGGAATCTGTGGCAAGCAGCTGCCAGGAGACGTCTGCGATACCAATGGCTGTCACAAAAGAGTCGAACCAGTTCCATCCCTTTTCGGCCCCGCACCAGAAATCACGGCAGCCAAGCACAGCGGTGCGGGTCAAGTTTTCGATGGAGAGAAGCACTACGAAGCCAAGCTCCACATACATCCAGTAGGGCCAGCCCTCATACATTGGATCTGTCTGAATTCCAATAGAGATGCCATTGGCGATAATGATTAACGCGATTAAAGGCTCCAGATACAGCAGGATGTGAATAGGCTCCGAAGGAACGGCGAGGTCATTCCTCAGGCAGACGGAACAACGAAGAAGGATATGTGCGAATTCCTTGGGGGATAGGTAACCTACCACCGCGCGTTTGGCGATGTTCAATGTCGACAGACTACTATGGCGCACTTTGTGGTGACTTCTGTGTTTGGCGTGTTTGCAGCAATATGGCAGGCTTCGAAGCTACAAGGGGAAGGGCACGGCATCGGAGAGATTCGGACATTGCTCCAGAGGATCCGGACAGTTTTCCCGAGTGCGTAGCAGAAGGGTTCTCGTTTCAAAGGTTGGGGTCCAGGGGTCCAATCGTTGACCAGGGATCGTCGTTAAAGCGTTCGCAAAGCGTTCGCAA